CATCCCTGAAAAAATCTCCAACACATGTCTATGTCCAGAAGAAATGTGGAAAGACCATCTCAAAGCACCTGTCTCTACAAGCACACCACCACTTGCAAGAGGCATCTGCACACTCCAAACCTGCCTCCAGGTTGAACACAACTTGGAATTTGCAAGGTCAACCTCCAAAAGAGGCAACCCACAGATTTAACAAAGCAACTGAACTCTGCCCTGCTGGGTGTGTCCCTGTCATCAGAAATCAAGTGTTCTTTATGCATTTCTGTTTAGCTTTTCAATGCTGTTTCCAGTCTGTACCACTTCTACAGGTTTTGAAAAATGAAATTACACAGCAGGGATGGAGAGAAAACTCCCAGCGCAGTTCAAAGTAGAACTCCAGGAAACCACAGCCTAGGTTTTGCAGCTTTTGCAGTTTCCTGAAAAGGCTGAGTTCAATGAACCACCATGGAATCACTGAGATTTGATCGACATGTTTCAGTCAACTAGTCTGCAATAAATGTGTGACAGGTTTCTGACTTCAGCATGCAGTCTTGAAAATCTTCTAATGGAAAAAGTGCTGTCTCAGTCTACTTTCAGTTCAGTAGAAATCAGATGGAAAGAAAACAATCCATTCCGTTTGGCTTCCTAGTGCCTGGCTCTTCCTTTTAACCACCTTCTCCCAACAGCAATCTATTTCAGATTTCATTGTTCTTCATTGGTTTTGCACTACTTAAAGAAAGAATTTTTAAAAATGAATTTAGAAATTGTAGTTTTGTTGTAGTTTTCCACAAGGATCCAGCAGCACAGGTTCTGGGCTTTGCTGTTATTTTCTTCTAAACCAAGAGTCAAAATCTTATGTGATGGCAGAAAAAAAAGTCTTGATTTATCATGACCATCCAGCAGGGATAATGGCAGAGCAGTCATGTAGAGCAGTACCTTCCTGCATCCAGCACCCACTTTCACAGCTCCCTTTTCATAAGGTGCAAGAGCACAATTAACTATTTCAGAATGCTGTCAAAGAAGGATTTTCCCATAAGATAAGCCACCACAACAGGAATTGTGAGAAAAGCACAATTGGCAAGAAGAAAAGCACGAAGCCTTGGGCTAACAGAACAGAAGGTTTGGAATTAGGACACCAGACAAAACCTCCACTGTAGAGACTGTGGGTAAGGAAAATCAGTGCTTGCATGGCTTCTAGCCCAAGATGTGGGGACAGCTGTGACCACCCTGTGGATACCCCAATCTTGGACAGTATAAAGGTGGCACCTCCAGAGAGACCTGGGGACCCCCATCACTGAGCAGACCATGGGTGAAGAAGGACAGGCTGGACAACGGAGAGTCCATGTGGTGATGATATCTCCCCACTTAATGCCTCTCTCTTCCCCTCACCCTGCCTCTCTTCTCTCATTTCTTTCTATCTCCCTAGTTTGCATTTCCTCTTCAATAACATTTTTACTATTGACTGTGGAAAGGAGTCATACTTGCACCCTAATTTAGGCAGAAGCCTCTCTTAATGACCAAATCTTTACACCACAGTTATCCACACAGGAGTCAGGAAAACTAGCACATCAATACCTTCATCAAAATCCAAGCGGTGCCACTGCTTCAGCCTCCCCAGTTCATTTTTCTCCCCGTTTGAATTTGGGATCTCCTTCTGCTCCCTGGCAGGTGCTGGGACCCTGGAACTCGGAAATTTCTCTGTGGGTTGCACCACATGAGTGCAGGGGGAAGTGGAGCCAGCACTTGGAGACATGTCCAAAGAGAACAGAAATGTGGAAGGCAGAAGGAAGGAAGAAAAGTGGCCACCAGCTGCTGGCTGGACATGACTGGGCTGGTGGCCAATTCTCCTCTTCTTGCTCATCACAGGACTGGTAAAGTCAGAAGTCAGAGGCCGTTTCTGCATCAATAACAAAACAATTCAGTCATTAACCTATGATCAGGGTCAGATTTTCCTCCCATTCTGAAAAAGTAGTTTTTCTGAACTGGCCCAGCTTGAACACACATCTTTCTACACAAAAAAGGGCATTCAAACCAGGAAGTACTGTGGGTAAACACAGACTCTATCTCATTCTCACTTTCCCATCTTAGCACTCAGCAAGTCCTACTTCAAGTCTGTAGCTAAAATGCTTTGGGAGAAAGACATTCCCTTCAGGAGCTCCATCAAAGGCTTCCCCAAAAGGGAAGGTCCTGCACATTCACATGACAATTTTACACCACCAGCAAGTCTGCTAAAATTTACCATACAGTCCAGAATGTTAAAAATGCACAAAATACCTGAGCAGGTCTTACTGCAGCATCTCTCTCTGAAGGTCCCAGAGATGTCGCTTGGCTGGTGTTGGCGGTGTTCTGAGATGGAGCTGATTTTCTGTATGGATGGGTAAATATTTCATGTTACAAGGCCTAAATTATCAACTGTCAAAATTCTTTCCTTGCAGGGGAGACAGACCTTCAGTGTCAGGACTCAAGGAAGCAGCATGAAGCTGAGTTGGGGGAGCTTTAGGCAGGATATCAGGAAAACATTCATGGCCCAGAGGGTTCTGGAGCACTGCAACAGGCTCCCCAGGCCAGTGGTCACTGCAGGAGGCTTCAAGAAGTGTTTGGACAACACTCTTGGGCACATGGTGTGATTCTTGTGGTGTCCTGTGCAGGACCAGGATCCTGGCAGGTCCCTGATACCTCCCCATATTCTAACAATCTAAGCTTCATTAACCAGGGATGTTTTATTTTCCATCTCTGAAAGACTGAACTTACCCAGAAAGTATTAACTTCAACTTCTGTCTGTCTATTTCAGTGTAGCCAGGCCAATCAGTCTGAAGGGTTTGAAATAGATGTTCCTTCAGACTGAAGGAATTATCCTTTGCATTCCACTTGGCTACCTACAGGCAGACATGTAGCAAAACAAATCTTTATTATGCTTGCTGCATGCAAACTACAGAAATATGATGGGTCCTGAACAGCTGCTTGTGAGAACCCAGTTTCAACCAATTGTATCCTTTCATACAGACCTTGATTATTCCTCTATCACATGAGTTTTAAGCCATATTAATGTCTCAGCAATTGGAAACAACCCAGGATCTCCATCCATATCTACCAAGTGTTCCTTTGAAAACAACATTGAGAGCTACAATGTGTAAGGAGAGGGGGTCAGGCCCAGAGTCCCTCTTCATGTGGTAGAGCCAGGGTTCATTCCAGCAAAGTCCTGCCATGAGAAGGCCATGCATGTGCCTTGCTGTAATTCCTTTGAAATGAAATGAGATTCATATCTTCCTGAAGACAAAGTCACCACAAAAAGTAAATTGTAGTAGTAAAACCTGAAGACCACTGATATCAAAAGTGCAGGTTTAGACTTCATCCCCTGACACCTGCTCAGAGTTCCACAGAAAAGCTCATTGGGAAAGTCTTGATCTATTTGATCCCTACAACACACTGAATAACACATATAACACACCACTAACATCTGTCTCAACTTTGACTTTTCTTTTCTCCTGGAAAACACGATAAACATTGATAATTTACATGTGTGATGATGTCTATTTTTACACACCTGAAAAAATTCAATGTAGCGAAGATACCCAGAATCAGGGATTCACTCCTCAGAAGCAGAACTCAGGTTGTGTTAGAAGGGAAGCAGTGTGACTGTACCAGATCTCAGCAAGCTCACACTTCCCAGCTGAGATTTCTACAAAATAAACCCCCACTTGCTCTGATATCCACAAAAGCCTGAGCAAGGCATTTCAGGCTGCAGGGCTGCTCACACAGAACTTTCAGATTGCGAACCTGGACCCTGAGGCAGTTCACATCTCCTACAGCACATTGACTACAGGGAAATCTCAAACATTGCAATGGAACAGGAGAAAATGTTTTCATTCATTACCTTCTAAGGAGCTGAGCTTTGAAAATGTATAATCAACTTGAAATCTAAATGGGCTACTTCAGCTGGGAGCGCAGAACATGGCCCTCGTTATATTGTGAATATTTTCAGGATGAAAAAGCCTGCCACTGCCCTGGGCAAACCTAGCAACAAACTTCCCAGGTTCAGGGAATGAGTTCTTAAAAGTCACTGTGGGATCAACTGAAACTTCATTAAATTTTCCTCCCTTGACTAGCTTTCAAGAAATTGGTTTCCTAGCTAAAGAAGAAATGTTTCTACTTGATATAATAATGCTGGCATAATTCAGTAAGAGACTAGGGAAACAGGGAATATGGAAATGGAAGGAAAGAACCACTGCATCTTTCAATGCATGTGCATCTTATTGCTGGCTGTAATAACAAAATAACCATGGAATTCAGAGGAGCACTCAGAATTTACTGAATAAAAGAGTTCCAAGGAAGATGGAGATTTAATTCATATGACAACAAAGAAACTATCTGCTCAAAGTTTGGCTACCACCTCTATCATGGAGGATGTGCCTGGAACACCCCTGGAAGACAATCCCCACAGATCCCACCAGAAGCCAAGTATTATTGAGAGGCCACCCACTCTGTTCAAATGAAATACAGGCCTCTGCAATTCCTGAAATTTTTGCTCCAGAACTTCTCCCAGGAAATTTTTAGTGCCATGACAAACCACTTCACACAATCAAGGAATCCCTGGGAAGTTACTCTATGAAGCAGTTAAACTGTGCAGGGAAAAGAAAGATAATGGAATAAGGCATGAGGAGCAACAACATTACAAAGTGTTACTCATTGCCAGCTATTCTAGAAAAACAACAATGCCCCAATAGTTTTGAAGTTTTCTTTCTTTATGTCACATGGATCTGCAGCTTGAGACCTCTGGATGAAGTTGATGGAAAAACTTAACAGGGAGCATTTCCTAAGTTGTTTATCCGTATCTAATTTAAAGAGTGGAGGAACAAGTGACAATTAGGAACAAAAGAATAGTGTGGTGGAAATAATGCTGTCACAAACTCCACAGTCTCACCTGCTGAAGGATCTTTGCAAGGCTGCCCTTGTCCTTTTGCATGACTCCATCTCTCTGCAAGCGAGCGAGCAACTCTGGCTTCTTGTAAGCCCTCAGAGCAAGTAAATGAATCACCCTGTCCCTGTAGGGTCGCCGATAAACAGCACTGCAAGGATTCTCTTTCCTCTCTGCAGGCTTCATGAGCTTTGTTCTCTTGTCCTCAGGGGCAGGGCATGAAGAGTGTGATTCGGCTCTTCTCACATCTGCTGGTTTTCCCAAAGGAAAGGAAAGCAGAAAAAGACGTGTCAAATGGGAAGTTGGCAGAAGGCAAAACAGTTAATTTAAAATTATGATGGATATCTTGGGGACAGAGTTGATATTGAATATCCTTGTGGATCACTTCCAACTCACAAATTGTCTGATTCTGTGGAAAAGCCCAGTCCCTAACTGGTACTGTATGGAGCATGTTGCAAAGGCACCCTGTACCCTACCAGCAACCAGTCCTGTCTCACCTGAGTTTCTCTGTGCCAGCTCACAGCAAAATCAGCACCAAGTTCCACAACTCTCTCACTACTGCCAGTCCTAACACCCCAAGTATTCAGTGTTAAATATTCCCTTAGGATGTATGTAGATTGCCAGCAAGAATCACACAAATCATCACTCACATGTGAAACAGAACATCCCCAATGAGAAATTCAGAAGTTGAGTTTTGTCTCTCCAAAAAGCCACCATGATGCTGCCTTAAAATGCTCTGCACAAGGCTAAGGCAGAGCAAGAGCTGCACTTGCAGGGACAGGGATGTCCCTGCAGGCAGGTGACTGCAGCCACAGCCAGGTCAGAGCCTGCTTTGCTCAGGGCAGCTGGCTGTGCCTGGCTCAGCTCCCTGCTGCAGGCAGCACCACTGAGTGTCTGGAAGGGGAATGTGCACCTGGTGTCTGCCTGGAGCCAGGCTCCTTGGGGAAACTGCACTCAGAACAGGTTAATACAAATGGCACCACCTAAGCACATTGTGCTTTGAGGGGAATCCGTGGACAAGATGACATCAATATCTTCCTTTCAATTTACCTCAAAAGAACCCAAAGCAGAATTTCACAAAGCTATTAATGACCAAGATAAAAAATTAAATCAAGCATGGTTTTCCCATGCTGACCTTATGAAATTCTTTATGCAACTTTCTGAAGGGCATTTTCTTTCAATTTCCCAATTAGATTTAATGGATAATGACAGTACCTAGGTGTTCCAAAACCAAAACATTAGCTACCAAGACTGTGAATATAGGTGCATGAGGTGGTCCAAACTTTGACCTCCATGCTCCAAATTGCAACCCATCAAGCAGTATGGGAACAAGGAAGGACTGAAAGACTTTCTTTCTTGGGGGAAAACAAACCAGTGGCTGAATGCTGTGACAAGAGGCTGCAAGTCTGGTCTGAGGGCAAACCACCTCCAGGTTGGGATCTCTGAACACAAAAGATCCCCTTTCCAATGAACATGCTGCAAAAATTAATTACCAAGTGGAAAATCTTACAGACACTGAGCAAAATATGAAAAGCAGCCATACCTCCAAGTGGGTTACACGATTTGACATCCTGTGCACTTCCATTGTGCAACACCTCACTGGCATTTGTCTAAAATGGGAAAGCACTTTTCTGTAAAATCTTCAGCCTATTCTCCATTACCACTGAATAACTAGGCCCTCCATTTTAAACCAGAGCTGTATTTACAAAGGTTTGCTGTCACGTCACCTAAAAGGGCTGCTTTGACACAGTTCTCTCTCTGAAAGCAGCCGCCTACAAAAGTGCCCTGAGAGAGCCACCCTCACTCAGCCTCTAATGCAGCCAAGCCTTGGAGTAGCAAGTCATCCTTTCCCAATTGCTGGAATTTATAGGCACAGGCTTCCCTTGAAATCAAGTGCCTGAGTACAATTGAACTGGTCAGCGTTAAGCTAAAAATCCAGAGAGGCTCACAAACAGATCTGAAAGTTAGGGCAGCACCTGACACTGGGATTTATTTGGCACTAAGGAAGCAGCACATCCTGGAGGCAGCTCCAAGAACAACTTCAACTGCAAAAATATTAATTTCAGCTGTAACAGGCACCAAAATCCTTTCTCTTTTCCTCAGCTCTAGATGCAAGTATTTCCATAGATGTAAAATAGTTTATCCTAAGTTATAGGAAATAGTTTATCCTAAGTTAATTCAAAATTTGGTTGCCTGGCTGAAATCATCGTTTAGTACAGCGTGTAACACATTCCATTGGAACTCAAAAATCACTCAAATGTCTATTGGTATAAGCATATTTTTTAACAAAAACTACTACTGCAAACCAACTGCTTCATCCTGAAGGCAAAATTGGCTGAGATAAAATCAAAAAAGCTATGATAAATGGACTGAAAATTGTGGACGAATTACCATGAGAAGGGAGACATCACTACCCAATAGAACACAGAATATTACTCTATGGAAGGAATTCTTTAATTTAGAACCAATGAAGATTAATGTCTTTGTTTACTAAATGTGTACCAGTAACTAGAAAAGCTTTGAAATGGTGTGCATGTGGGTGCAGCTCTCCACTATGCATCACAGCCAGGAATAAATGTCTACTCCTAATACTTAAAAATAATTTTAGAGCGTTTCCTTTATCCTGCCATGTTCAGTGAGTGCAGTACAAACTTGGAACCATGAGAAATCCATGCATTTTGGCCACGAGCCACATCCAGAGCATGAATTTCCTGAGTGCCACAGCATGGAGAATATCTGACTTCCAAAGGCACCTTCTCTCTGTCATCCCTGAGGGCCACTTCTATCAGAGAACCTCCCAGTTCCACAGACACCTCCTCCGTGCCATCCCTGTGAGTCACTTCCCCCCGGGCAGCTGCCTCAAAGGGCCCTTGGAGCACCAGAGGGGCCCCAGCCCTGCCCAACAGGTCCCGCGGGCTCAGCAGCACCTGACACCAACACCATGGCCAAGCCCCCGCCCGCTGCCGACCCGCAGAGCCCCACACCTGCCCCTCACCTGCTGCTCCTGGCACCTCTGGCTCACCCTGACGGGCATGGCACTGCTGGTGGGGGCCCTGCGGGATGCAGTGCGGATTGGGGCCCTGCGGAACTCACTCGATCCTGCCCAGGCCCGCAGCTCCGCCATCCCGCTCTGCCTCGGCTGCTCCCGCTCCCACACACACACTGATCTTGCTGAGAGGTCTACAAAATGCAAAATACTTTTTAGGAAAATGTGTTCTTGCATGTTTGGCCTTTCAAGGCTCATCAACAAGAAGGGAGATGATTCCCATGAAACAAGAAGTAGCCAACATGCTGGAAGTGATGGCCAGGCCTTGGAAAGGCCTTGGTGACTTTTTGGCTGAATTGCCTTGTGGAGGTGCAGGGCCTGACAGGCTTCAGTGACCTCAGACACAGGGCAGGTCAGCAAGGCTTGGGAACAAGGATGCACCACTGATGGTGGACACAAAAAATGCAGAATTTATGGGCACAAGGATAATTGGACAAATCCTTGAGAAAAGGAACAAACTGATAAAGGCAATGCAGCAACTGTGCTGAATCAGCTCCAGCAGGGTAAAAGGCCATTCCAGCTTTTTACTCAAGAAAAGTCTGAGAAAGGGAGATTGAGCATGCAGACTAATGAGCATGAGAAGTGAGAGGATCATTACCCAACAGCAGACAGAACACTCCTTATGAAGACAACTAGGGAACTTGCATTCAATGAACACTGATTCCTTTCTTTGCTCAAATGCATAAATACTCAAACACTCTGGGTTCTTGTGCTGCTGCCTTTGTGAATTTGTCCCTGAGCCCCCCTGTCTGCACAGAACTGTAAATAATTACCTCCACTCAGTGGGTGGATCGGGCTCTTGAACAACGGGTGCTGGAACCAGCCAAGGTGGAACAACACTCACTGTGGCTCTGACAGCCCCGCTCTCTCTGTAGCCGCCGAAGGCTCTGAGCGCTCCTGCCCTGTGCCGGTGAGCATCAAACAGATGCACCCAGCCTGAAGGGCTTTCAGAACTCTACAGAACTCTGCCATATGGTTTCCAGTGACAGACTTCGAACAAAACATCCAGCTCAGTATCTGCGTGTATGCCAAACCACAGCAAAATCGTGGCAACAAATCAACAGATGTAGAAAAAATGATGACTGATGGCAACCGAAACACAACTGTCATTTTTCTACTCCATTAAGTAGTTATACAATTATCAAATGTGTGCACTCACATAACAGAACACAGTAACTAACGAAGAAAAAGCCTTTTATTCAGAAGAGGTTCAGATGTCTTTACAAGAAAGACATGATTTCAATTTACAAAATCAACATTACCACCAGCACTTTTCCTTAAGAGTTGTCTTTTGTACAATGTCAATTGTGTAAGCAAAGCAAACGATCCATACCCAAACATTTCTACCACAAAATCTCTATTTAGATTTTGTATATATATATAAAAAATACATATGAATATCATGTCTTCATACTTCAGGTCCTTCTCCTCCAGGAACCAGCTATAAAAGAGTAAGACATTTTTGCATTAGTTCCATAGAGTTAAGCTTTATAAACCCATACACAACAGCTCTTACTTCACAAGAAACATGTTAGGACACAGAGACTTCATGCTAAACCACAAAAGTGGCTTTCAGACTCTCCCAACAGATGAAGTCAGTTATTGCCAGAAACGCACAAACCAAAAAGGCAGCAGGGAGTAAATGGGCATAGCACCTCCTTGTGAAGAAAGCAAAGAACTGAAGAACAGAAAAAGAAATACAAAAGACAAAACATGAGGGGGAAAAAAGGATTAACCACTACTTTTACTGGTATCTTTTTCATTATCAGCTGAGCACTTCTAAAGAGAAAGAGCTTCACTGGTTTTGGGATCAAAATAAAAAAAAAGCATAAGTCATGGACTTCCTGATATGGGAAGATACATTACCAAAAGACACAGGAGATCTAAGGCACAAATGTATCTATCTATGAATCTATCTTGCTGAAAATTCATCAGGTTCTTCAGGGCAACAAATGCCCAGCCTAACTGGATGGTAGGAATTTCACCCCATACAAGGAGTCAGAACATATGCTGTCCTTTCAACATGCAGAACAATAACCAAAGCAGAAAAAAGGCTTAAAAATTAACACAGAATGGCACCTGCTCCAACACACAATGCAGAGGTGCAAGATAGGTAAAAAACACAATGGAGACTATTTCTCATTCATACAGAGCCAAATTAGACTCAGATCTTTCCACTTCAGCCTTCCTATTCCCACAAAATTAGGAATGCCCTTGTATTAGAAGTCCAGGCTTTGTGGCCAGCTATACATGCAACTTCCTGATGTAGTGGAACTGTCAGGAAAGCTCGGCTTAAAGGAGTTGAATACAATCACAGATCGATTTACAGGCACAGCAAGTCAACACATGCATGACTCACCATAGTTATGTTATTTCCATTGAGCAGAATCTGGTCCAGCTTTGTGATTCTTCTGCCCTCAGGTGTGATCTCACTGAAGGAGCATTAGAAACAGTAAGTAAGAACACAGAACCAGGGACAATGGCTCCAGATTTGACCACAGAACGGACAGAAATCTCTGCATTAAGGTGCCCATTGCTGGAACTAACAAATAAATCAGCTACATGGCAGCATAACCTGGATAAATGGAGCACCTAGGTACAGAAAGCTAACTGAAAAGGTCTCTTCTACTCAGTACATGGAGATGTGTATTCACCCTCTAAAGCTTAACAACTTCTTGAATATGATATATCAACATGTTATGACAAAGTAAAAATATTGAAGTTTGCTACCTTGTTGAATCTTAGCCTAGGTATTAAAGAAGTGTAAAAACAAATTAACTACTGGAAAGTTTCCCACACAACCCATGCAAAATTAAGACTACAAATAGGATCCCCATACATGTATAAACAACACAATAGCTACTCTATGACATGGCTGTCCTGAACTTTCTATTGTTTTAAGATCACTTTCTATTGTTTTAAGTGCAATGTTAAACTACTCAGCTAGTAAGTATTCCACAGCTGTAAAAACACTTTTTTTACACATCTTACACAGTACTTTGTCTCAGTGAACCAAATAATAAACAGCAACAAGAGGCAGAAAACGTACTTACAATTCCGTAACATCTTCCAGCACCATATCTGAAAATCTAGTTTCAAGGAAAATAAGGCCCAGATTTTACAACTAGACTATTTAATGCTACTTTCATTTTATGTCAATATGTGATTTCACCTTAAATTTGAAAATATCAGAATACAACTGATCCATAAAAAAAGGTCTATTCAGTGAACCCAAAAGTCTCAAGAGCTATAAATTACTTAGGCCAGAGCATAAAGCAGGCAGCCTTAAACGTCCATAAAAGGATACTGACAAAGTCATCAAATCCTAGAAGTGTCCCAACAATTTCTTTGTCGCTCTTCATCACGATGTGTATACGTGAACCGATGCACTTGTCCACAAGTTCTGTAGATACACAGAAAAGCATACGTTCTACAAGGCAAGGGTTTCGTGCCTTACGGGGTTTCTTGAGTTTATTTACACAGAGACACATTCCACACAACCTTACACACCACTCCTCCACCCTCCCACACAAACCAGACACTCTCCCACACCCCCCCCCGACATCCTTACATCCATCCCCACTCCCACTGGCCTCCCTCATACAGTCCCACAGCCCCACACCTCATCCCCCAGACCCCAACA